GGTGTTTCGAATAAATTAAGCAAGGATAAGTTGTGCGAGAAAAAGAGCCTTGGATCAAGCGGAAATGCCGTGGAACCGATCGTCTTCAGTGAGTCGAGTTCGGGCGGTCTGATCAGTGAACATTTTCCGTCCTCCTAAATCTTCTCTTCTCGGTGTATTATGAACTTGAACTCGTCCCGCGCTGTTTTACAGGGAAAGTCCATGCGCGCAAGTCGGACTTGCGCTCAAATTGATCGCGCTCATATTGATTGCGCTCGAATCGGTCGCGCTCAAATTGATCGCGCTCAATTTGAATCCGCGCTCAAGTCGGATTTGCGCTCAAGTCGGATCTGCGCTCAAATTGGATCCGCGCTCAAGTTGGATTCGCGCTCAAATTGGATCCGCGCTCAAATCGGAGCTGCGCGCAAATCGACTTGCGCTCAAATGTGGCGTCACCCTCCGAGAAGCTTCATGTCGTTGAAAGGTCGCATTCTCGCTGTTATGCAGCGCCGTAACTCATTTGCCAGGTCTCGTCGCAGTTCGATTTCGTCATCTTTCAACAGCGGCGCGCTCAGTTTTTTGGGGGGGGGGGGGGGCGACTAGAGTTTTTGAGGGCACCAGACGACCAAAAATGATGACGCGCCTTCTCGGGGTCCATAAAATGGCATTGAAACCGAAGAATCCTGGTTGGGGCCTTGGCCCCCTTGCCGCCCCCCTGTGCGCGCCTCTATCTTTCAAGTCTGCAGTGATCTCGTTTCCCAATTCTCGAACGCCTCTCGAGTCCGCACATTCCGCAAACTCGACTATTGCACTCTTTTCGGGGTTAAATTGTAGATTCATCTGAGCTCCAAACTCCGATACCTCTCTGAGTAGTTTTCCCATATCTTTCCAAGACTGTGCTATAAGCTATAAGAACTAAATCGTCCGCAGATAGCAATCCGCCGATGTGAACATCTTCGGTTCCCTGGGGTTGAACATGTTCCCAGGTTGACGTACTTTAAAGCCGACTCCTGTCCCTTTCAGTCTCTCTTCTAGTTCTGATATGTATAGGATGAATAAGATCGGGCTCAGCGGACATCCTTGCCTGAGCCCATTCTCTGTGTGAATGGTGTCCGACTCATGTAAGCCGTGTCTCAGCCTCACGGTGTTGGCCGTGTATAGGAGTTTGATCATGTCCAGGTGTTGCCTGGGGACTCCGTTACGTTCCAACACTTCCCTCAAACATGCTCTGTCTATCCGGTCGTACGCTTTCGTACAGTCGAGGAAGCATGTAAGTAGGCCGCTTTTCTCTCGCCTCGCAATCTCGATGGTAGACGTGCGTATGAATATGCAGTCCTCCCCTCGTAGATCTTTCCGGAAGCCATGCTGCATTTGGCCCAAAACCTCGTTGTTTTCCATCCAATCCTGGATTTCCCTGCAGATAATCCTCGCAAATAGCCTGAACAGAATCGAGGAAACTGTAATCGGCCGATACGTGGATAGGACTCCCTTCTGCGGGTTACTTTTTGGGAGCAAGGTCAGTCACCCCTCCCGCCATTCCTGCGGAATTGGCTCGGTGCCTTGCATTATCCGGGTGAACAGCCTTGCTACGTATTCGTAGCCTGTCACCCCCATTGACAAAATGACATAGGCCGGGATCTCATCTAGTCCCATTGCCGAATTAGTCGATACTTTTTGAGTGCTTCAGGGATTGTTTCCGCGTTTACTCGCAGGTCCATCCCTGGTAGCGCTCTCATTATGTCCAGGCGAGATTCCCCTCCCTGGTCTCCTCGTGTGGCATTTCCACATTCTAGAGGCTTTCTAAGCACCGTTGTAAGAGGCTCCGTCATGCCCTCCTCTCACTTCCGCGCCGGTGTCATCGACGGCTTTCGTAGACTCGGACTTGCTTCGCTCCTCTCTTCGAGTGTATTGCCAAAAACGTTTGGCAATGCTCGTTCTCGTGGTGCTCGGATTATGTGGTCATACATTTCCCGATCTTGGAGGGCTATCTCTGTCTGGATCTGGTCGTGGATTCTCTGTTGAGTCTCCTTGAATCGTTCCGCAATACTGCGTTTCTCAGCGACCATTCCCATCTTCCGCGCCCTCCGCAGCTCCCTACCCACTATTTTTTTTCTCTCTGTATAAGAGGGAACCGGGTGGTTCTGTACGACCCTGGTCTTTTTTGTATGTTTCTTAATATTGCTTAAGATGGCCTCCCTAAGTGTTTCGTACTTAGGCCAATCGTCCAGCATCTGCTTCCTCAGGGTCTCCTTGGTTTCTATACTCGCTCCGGTTTTGTCTAGCATGGCTCCCGGTTTCCCTTCGGCTTTCGAGACGTTTCGGACATCCCTCGTCTCGATTATAAACTCAGCTGTTATCAGATTGTGGTCTGAGATCTGGGTCCACAATCTCTCCTCATCAATCTTCATACCCCTGAGTTTCCTAGAGGCTATTTCGTTGCACAGTACATAGTCGATGACCGCGTACTCCCGAGTGAATTTCCCTTCAGATTTTTCGGAGGCATTAAGTATGATGGGCCCATTCTGGCTCACGAAATTCTTCAACAGCCAACTTCTGGAATCTTCCACTTCTGCGAATTGGTTTATGTGACCATTCATGTCACCCCCAATCACTACGTGCGTCTCTCCCTTGCATTTTTGGTGCAGGTATCCTGTCATGTCCTCAAACAGCTGACCATTTTGTCGTCCTCTCTCGTGAGCGACATACACTGAAAGGAAAATCCATTCCGATCCTCGTATTTCTGTTCTCAAGGCCATGGAGTGGTTTCCCCTCTTTGAGGAAATAACTCGACCTAGATCCACCGGGATGAGAATTCCTACCCCGGCTTTCGCGTGTTTCCCTGTTTTCCCCTCGCGGTTGCTCCCGAACCACTGGTACTGAGCAATTTTTGGTGGACATTCTTCATTCATAAGCCATGTTTCATTGGCGAATATATGTAATTCCTCTTTTCACCGATCCGTCCTTCCTGTCGATATCGGTGAATACGTCCTCAACTAAGCACTTCCATTCGCTCTTTGTTCTGCCCCCCCCCCGAAGATCAAGAACACCGATTCTGATTTCATAGTCTTCAAGAGCGACATCATTTATTCTTGGAGATTCCTTCTTTCGTCGGCTCCTGGCTCGTCTTCTCGATGCTTGGCTCGAATCCCCCGATGTGGCTGTTGGGGGGTATGGCCGTCAGTTGGAACGGCCCTGTCCTGGGCTCGTCCCGCTGTGCGGACCACGTGAGTATGGGGCGGTCCTGCCCCCTATCCCGCGTCCTCGACCGCGTGCAGCTGTCCCGCTGCCGGCCCCTCTACCGGCGTGGCCCAGGCTGCCGCTAGGACCTCCCGTTTGAGCAGTATCCTCTGCCCCTTTTTTCTCCTTTTTCAGTCTCTCGGTCTCGAGAGATTTGTTTCTCATCTTTTTCATATGAGCCTTCAATTCCTCCTCCCCAGTTTGATCGAGGAGGAGTGTTTCGATGTACCAGGCTACGAGTTTTTTACCCGTCTCCTGGCTGCCTTGTTTCGTCAGGCGATCGTTATTGAATGGAAGCTTATTCAAATACATTCTTCGAAGATTGAGGATTGAAACCTTATCAGGTTCCGTGTCGGCCCATTACTCGACCATTCTATTGACCTCAATCGCCGATTGGGCCAAGTCCCCTTTCTCTGGGAGATTCACCCAGGTCACGGAGACGACTTTCTCGTGTGATATGGCGTCATTCATCACTTAAATGATCTCAGCCCCGGAATCCTTGACTTTCCACGCTCGGAAATCCTCGTCGCGCAGGTTAGTCATTCCTGTTTCTAGGAGCAGATGCACATACGCTGCATCGGTTTCGAGTAAGATCTGGTCGATCTTCTCGGCGTGTTTCGCTAGTAGACTCCTCTTCTCGCGTAGGAGATTCTTCCTACCGAGGAGACCAACGAGGATCCTCTCGTTCTTGAGGTCTTCGAGGATACTCTCTCCGACCAAGACAGTCATTGTGATCGGGTCTCTCCTAACCTCGTCCACTGCCATACCTTCGGCTTGGTCACCGATATCCTTCAGTGCCGCCTCGGTTTGTTTTTGTTTCTCCTCTCTCCGTCCAATCTCGACGGTGAGAGCTTTAACCACAGTTGCGTGGTTGTTAATGAGTTCGCTGTCAGCGAGAACTTGTTTCCTCAATTCTTCCTCTAACGCGGACATTCTCGGCCTTGGCAGATTGATATCTGCTAAGGCAGCGTTGTGTTCTTCCGTTGCGCGTGCCATGAAGTCATTCCCCCACACGCATGCCACACAATTCAGTGCGGCTTATGCAAAACATCGCACAATTTTCGTCGGGTGAAGCCATCTCCTCCTCAAGGAAGCCCGAAACTTCTGCAGCGACAATTCGAAACGAGGCTGCAAACTATATTTTTTGGGAGCTATTGGATCTGTCGCCGAAATATGCAATCGATTCGACATGCTCGAAAATCTTCCATCAGATTATAGACGTTCTTCTCGGACTAACCGAATGATCCAGGCAGAGCTCTCGATCGTGTTCATTCAACGTGACGTTCCGCCCGTCAGAAACGCATACGGAGTGATCATTACCCGGTGTGACGAACTTCGGCGCCAGGAAGAGATAGACTGCAACACTTCAAAGACCAACGAGTCCCAAACTCGGGCTTCTCTTAGCCCCACCAAAGCGTGGAAAGCAGCCGTCCCAACAACGCGTGTTTGGGGGCACAACGTAGGGTGAAAGAACCGTTTATGGGACACCTAAGGGTTTTTCCATGGTGGGCTACGGAAAAAACGTTTTCCGGTTATGGAACGGAGTGTTCTCCAGATGTCCAATGAGTCGGCCGGGTGTTGCTGTAAAACAGGAAGGGGGTTTGATTCATCCTGAGCACTTGCTATATTCGTTCCAGAGGACAAGCGAGGGGAAGTCCGATAGAAATCTCTCTAGGCGTACCGATTACGACGTGAGGCTTTTTGGCGAGCATCATCGCTTGAGTCATCAAATCGATTCCACCGACGATCACAGCTGTAAAGAGACCATCCCGATTTGTAGTTCAGCAGCAGAATACAATCCTTTTGGACGCACAGATTAGTCTCGCACCAATCTTCTAGGCTCTTTCTCCCCGCCCGGGATCCCGAGGCGGTGAATCGTCTCTGAGCCGTAGACTCACCGCTTTTGATGCCGATCGTTGAACCTAAAGCTCCAAACTGTTCCGAGATTTGGAAAGCAAACTCTCTTGTTGGGGTCAGAATCAATGCGAAAAGCCGAGCGGGGTTCTCCAGAAGCGTTTGTAGGATCGGCAACGCGAAGGCTGCCGTTTTCCCAGATCCTGTCTCGGTGAGACCGATGATATCCCGTCCCTGAAGAGCCACGGGTATCGCTTCCTTCTGTATCTTCGAAGGTGTTCTCCATTTCAGCGCTTCGCAGGCCACATTTCAGCGCTTCGCCAGGTACAATCTCACCAAGAGCGTTAAGCGAAGGAAGTCGTCTCGTAGTTGGCGGCTCTCTACACTGGGAGGAAGAATGAAAAATGACTCGACTCGGCTTTCGTGAATCCCTTATCACACAGAACGTTCATCTGATAAACTCAAACGGTCTCCCTGGTGCGTAACGGTTGTCAATGCCTCCGACGGATGGATCAGGTGTTTCGGCATGGTGGTCGTGAGTCGTGAGACTCTGGACCACCATGCTGTCTCCTCGGGAGGAGTTGGAATGAGGTCAAGTGGTCGCGATTCCTGCCACACGGGATCAGGGGCCGTCCCCTCCTCCATGTGGAGTTATCTATCGGTGGAGCTCGTGGAGAAGCACGTGCGTTAGTTTTAATGGCGAGAAGCGCGCGCTTATGTTAGATCGACTTCCACAGCGAGACATTGTGCAGAATGGATTAATCTGTTCACTCACCCAGTCTTTTAAAGTCGTGTTGTCTTCACCGTCATCAGGGTCATTCCCCTGTGTAGTTTTGAGCTCATTTTAGAGACGATCTTCATCTTCACTCGAAGTCGCCATGTTGACGCAGCGTTCTATTTTCCTCGGGCTACTGGCCACACCAGCCCCCAGCCCGCCCGACCGGCTCGGCTTCCGACGATTTGGAGAGTGCGGTGCGGCAGCTGCCTCTTTTCTGTCTTCTGAATTCTGAGCTGTGTGCGGCGGACGAGATCGGGCCACCATTTAAATCAGAACGAGTATGCGGTCTTAGATCAGAATCCCATCAGGATACCGGAAAATCACTGACCGAAAGTTGAGCGGCATCGAAAGAGCACACACTGCTCGAGGTACCGATAGCTAAAGCTCGGAACAGGCTGGCGTAATTCTTGCCCGACTGCATATCGGTTGTGTATTTGGAAGAGAACGGAGTGCAGCTCGCTGCGGCATGGCGCTCAGTATTTCTAAAAACAACGTGCATTTGTGCAAGATTCAGGCTGTGACAGAATTCACCAAAACAGAATTATCGATTTCATTCTGTAAATCCGATGGGGGTCACTATCTGAACCACTTCCCCACGTATAAACTCGGCGATGGAACTCAGTTGTTCTCCTCGAACTCCATATGCCGATATATTTGGCGTCAAGCGGGAAAGCAAGTGACCGAAGAGGATGATAAGTGGTTGACGTACGAAAGTGGCGTAGTGAGACCGTTCGTTGCCGGGATCCTTCTCGGGAAGAACGTCGAGTTCCGACCGAGTTTCGAGCCAGCTCCACCGACGAACTCGTTGGGACACCTTGTGATTTGCTCCACCTTGAGTTATCTCAGAACGAAGAAAGACTTCAGCTGTGATTTCTTCCCTCCGAATTACGCGGATTTCGAACGGAACTTCAAGCACATTCTCCCTCAGGCTTGTGTTGCTGAGTGCTTGGCCGGTATGTACATAGACGTACAAGTCCCTCGAGAGAGCCGCCCTAGGTGACGTTTCCAAGATCCTCCAGTCGGTGAATTCCACGGAGCCAGAACGCTGAAGAGCAGAAGTAC